TCTGAAGGGCTTTTTTTCTCATAGAACGCTCAGAACGGCGTTCCGGCACCTTTTTTTGATGGTTTTTTTTCAACTTTTGCATGAGCTATACTACTCCCCCTATTGGCTTTTGAAAGCCAATAGGAATTGCTGCTAAGCACGCCAAAACACCCGGCCGGCAAACTTTGCACATGTAAGTTGTCTGCAGCGAAGGCAAATTGGCAGGAACTTTGCACCCCTCCCTGCTACCCAACTACACCATCTCCTACCTGGAGGAGACTGGAACGGCGATGCCACGGTAACTTTCTCTTGATTTTCAGCCCTGCATGGCTGTGGGTGCAAGAGGCAGGGGCGGCGGGGCTGCTGTGGGCGGGGGTGTGAGGGGCGGCGGTGGCCAGCTGCTCCCGTGCTGTGGGAGCCGCGGGGCCTGCTCTACACGGGGCTGTGCAGGGCGGGCGGTGGTGCTGGCGGGGTGGCTGCAGGCGGGATGTGTCGATGGCAGGCTGCCCCCCGGGGCCGGAGCCGGTGCAGCTGGTGCTTTGGGAGCCGCGGGCCCGCTCTACACGGCGGGGCAGCAGTGCTGGCGGGGTGGCTGTGGGCGGAGGCGCGGCATGTAAGCATAATTACAATATAAAATGTTATTGTTACAAATGTTTTTTATTATGCATTTATCATATTATAGTGTATTCTGTATTATTGTTGCAATGAATAAAATGTTTCTTTTATTTACGATATTTTTTTCTTCAATTTATTTGTGTCCTTCTTTTCATTGTAAAAAAGTTGGTCACATTAGGTTTAGTACGTGTTGTTTTGTCATCTTGTATGAATCCAGCTCATTCAATAATAGCTCAGGAAATCAGGGATCAACATAATGTGTGAACACAGTTTCTGCAGGATGTTTGTTTCTGTGTCATACTAGCTGCTCTGATCAAAACAATATTCTGCCATTATGCCACAAGACTCACCCCATTAGTACAGGTGTCATGACATTGCATACATCTCCAAAAGTGGTGGAGCCTGTGACACAATACTACATTTGCCATTTTAATTAAAGCAACTGGAATCCATTATATGAACCTAATTTCCTCTGAAAGTATTGGCTTCTTTATTATTTTTTTAAGAACATTGGGAGACATACTTCCAGCCACAAAATCTATGCTTCCACACCTCTTCCTCCAATAAAAGAAAACTCAAAAACTTCACACTTTCTGTTGCAGCACTAAATTTGTGTAATAAACTGTATTTGTTCTTTTGGGCCTTAAAAATTCAGTATCAGGATTTTCTTAACCGGCTTAGATCCATTCACATACATATGATTTACTAAATATCAAATCCAATAAATGTAGTGGAGGATTTCAGACAGAGATACTAGCGGATAAATCTTCAGAAATTTTAAAAAAGGACAAAATACTGCTCAATCATGATCACAGTAAGGAGACTTGGGATATAATTAACCTCTGATATATTGACCACGCAAGAAAGTAATTAGCTCTATTTTTCTTTTCAGTTTTTTAGTTCATAGCTTGATGTTGATGTTTTATAATGTAGGGTATAATATGTTTAACCTACTAGGGTTATTTCAATTTTTTTCCTACAGAAACAGTTTTATTCCCCATCTTTGCTACATATCACCAGCTATTTTTACCATTAGGTGTACTGTCAATGGCAAACCTGGGTATTCCACTTCATAATTTGTGAAATGACTCTCAAGGATATTTGCAATAAAAAAGTGTAAAGAATTATTTCTCACATCAAATTGGTGTCGAAGAGAGACTCAAAGTAAATATAGACATTCCATATATGAAACTAAAAAAATCACTGTTAATGTTGAATTGTCTTAGGAGAAATGCATTATGTTTTAACATCCTTTTGTTAAGCATCTGAAGTTTGGGTTACACTGTAAGCAACACTGTGCCTCTTTTGAAGCAAAACAGAGGTTATGAACTTTATCTATAAACTAATCCTTTCAATATTTAGTTCCAAAAACCAGTAGCATTACTCTGTGAGAAAACTAGTGTGAAAACTACTTCTAATGCAATTAATAAATATTGTGCAGCTATAACAGAAGAATGGCTGGTGATTCTGTACTATTTGTTCATAGTAGGGCTTTTTGACCAAATAAGGCAATACAGCTTTCCCTTCTGCTTATAATACAGACATGAAATATGATGTTTCAAATGGTTACAAGAAAACACATTTCATCGTTTCTTGTCCATTTCCAAGGTTCTCCCTCTAAGAAGCTGGCAATGATTCTTGGATAGATTTATAGAGATTCCCCCTTGTCTCAATTAAACAATACTTTAATGGAGATCCAAGAGAAAGAATGAAGAATCAACTCAACAATAATTTGTAGTCAGTGATAAAAAGTGGAATTTATTAAAAGCCCCCAAAAATAGCTACTCTGGGAAAAAAGATAATGATGTCAGTCATGTTTTAATAGTTATCATATTGAGGCCCAAGTGGAAGAGAACATTTTTTGAGGGTTGTAGCAAAGAAATAACTTTTATTCAACACATACGAAGCCTGGATAGACCTGGGTTCTAATAAGAATTGGGACTAGAACTAGAAACAGGACTTTTTGTTCCTGTGTGGAAACAAAACGAAGTATTAAGACTTTGCCTGGAGTTTGTTCCACTCCTTATGGAGCAATTTGAAGATTCAGACATGCACTGGCAACCTTTGGATGTAACCAATATTCCCTGATTCATAAATCACTGTTCCAACAATTGATTGCTTTCCACTTAATTAAATTCTCATCTTCAAGATTTTTCTTTAAAGAGATGCTTGTAGATAAGAATCTGTGTACTAACCTTTAGAGGCAGAAACCTCTATTTGGTGGACAAGGTAAATTAATAATATTTGTATTTGCCAGTACTTCCATCAAGACCATTGGATATATTAGAAGAGTCTGTCCAGACTGAACAGATTCGATATTAATGGCTCTTCTCCCCTAATAGAGGAAGTACATTCACACTTGCAAAAATCTGTTTCTATAATCTTATAATAAAAGTAGTATTAGTTTGTGTGTTTGCACTTTCCAAGTATGTTCCACCTTGGAGGGCTGACATCAGTCTTGCAAGTCTGAATGTATTTTCCCAGTCCTTCCCTTCATGACATGCCTAAAATGCTTTTTCAAAATACATGTCTGCCCTGGATTCACATTTCTTTAATCATATCATTGTCTTGGCTACAGCTCTTCCTCCTGTCCCTCAGTGTTATTCCTTCTGCCCATTAAAATAGCCTAATGCTAGGCTGATTCTAGAACTCTGCCACAGGCCTAACACTGAGAAGTAATAGCTGACATTTTGTCTTTCTTTCTAATGCCCATAAAGTGCTGTAGTTGTTAAGCAAATCCATTGTTTGCTATGGGGCAGTTTTTATCGGAAACCAGAAATAAACACCAGTTTATTTTATCGGAAACCAGAAATAAACACCAGTTTCTGGCAAAAACACAGTTATGGAACTGTGGGGAACTGCAAATGGCTTTACATATGAGCTGGTTGCTGAGCACCCAAAATGCAGTCATGTGACCATGGTGGGGGGGTTTCCCAAATGGTGGAACTTTGAAACCAAGTCATAAGTCCCCATTTTAGAGATCATCTTAACATTGAACTGTTACCTGGAGGCATGTCAGTTACTGATGTCAGCACTATATATTAAGTTCTTCCTAATGGGATGAATAGAATCTCTAAATCACAGGGGTGGGAGGTGTTCCTAAATGTATCTGTCTGGTGAAAATGAGTATAGTAAACAAATTCTTTAGTCTGGATACATAAAGGCTCTGGTTGGAGCATTTTGCCTTAACATAAAAATGACTACTACTGGAGGCAGAAAAAAAGTGGGGAGGGGAAGAGTGAGTGTCCCATGTTGGATAGATAGCATGACCCCAAATTTACAACCAATATGCATTTGCTTTCTGTTTATGAACTAGCTCTCGATAAAGAAAAGACTGGTCCACAGTATTCAGTCTGGTCAAATTTTAGTGATGGTTTTAAAAGTAGTCCAAATAAAAATTAGGCTGGATTTGTATGTTTCCTTTTTTTCTTTCCTTTTTTCCCCCTTTCCTTTGTTTTTTTTAAATTATTTTTTAGGTTTCTCCCCTCTTTTTTATCTGCCTAGTAAAGCAATAAAAAGAGGAGTGGATGCATAAGAAGGGTTTAAACAATGTGGTGGATGGTGAAAACGGACAGACGTTTTTCTTCATCTGTCATAATACTAGAATTCAAAGACAGCTAGTGAAATCAGCTGGCAGCACACTTATGACAGAAGAAAACCCAGTTTATCACCTTACACATCCTTAACTTCTGGAATTAACTAGCACGAGGTATAATGATGGCCATTTGCTTGGACAGCTTTAGCAAGACATTAAACAAATTCATAGTGATACATGCTTAAAAGTCTGTGACCACGAATGGTCAAAATGTCTCATGTTCCAAGTTGATAAACTGATAAATATTTTCTGGGATTCATGCCTGCATTACCTGCTTATGGACAACGTCTAGAAGTATCTGGTTAAATTAAAAGTATCTTCAGCTAAGGACGAATTGGGGGTGAACTAAAGACTAAATATAATGAGGGTTAGGAGACAAAGGGAGACATCATGGGAGACAGAAGAGGATGCTGCTGCATGTTTGTGGCTCGCTTAATTGCAATGGGGAGGGGAGGCCCCAAAAGTTACCTTTACAAACTGGCCAAAGCAATTCATTCCTTGCCACCTCTGACTTTAAAGGGGGTATTCTACAATGAGCTGGTATAGAAAAATGGGTACTCCACCACTGAACTGTGGTGCCTTTCTATTTGCAAGGCTGAAAAATTGTCTAGTAACCCGGAACTCAACTTAGGGTTGAAGCAAAGTGAGCTTCCTTTACAAATACTGGCATGTGTCACTGACCAATTATGATTTTAAGTGTCTCTAATGGTACAAAGGTGTGCTCTGTTCAGAACTCTGAGCCACACCTTTCCTTCATTTTTTTTTAATATTCAACTTTTGTTGTTTCATTTCTGCAATAATCCCGTTTCAGAGAGGATTACTTGGAAAGCAACTAGTCGATTTATGATTCTGGAGAATGCATTTTACTCAGTAACAGGTAAGTCAACAAGACAAGTGACCTATTATAATGTCTTCCGTGAGTGAAAATTGTGCTTTTTTAAAAAAAATCTTGTTTTAGCTTCCTTTTATTTCTCTTTAGTATCACCATCCACTTACAGTATTGTCTATATAAAATCACAATTCATTTACTTAGGGGAAAAGGTATCATTTGTTTTATAGCAAGATTTTTTTTAAGAGTAAATTTTCATTTGGCATCAACAGAGTGTCAATTTAAAGACCTTGCCACAAAACACTTGAACATATGTAAGAACTAAATAACATGAAAACTGGAGCACCATATGTGTGGATGGGAACTATTGGTTATGAAACTGTTCCGGCAGAATTTCAGGATGCCTTAATATAAATCACTAATCAGATATTGACATTTTATTCAATTCCTCATAATGGGGCATGAGGATGGGGAGATCTCAGTTACAAGGAAAAATGGGTCGTTTTCATTAATAGAAAATATCATAGGAAGGTTTTTATTGCTTTGCTTCTGTTGTTATAATTTATTTATTTCTGTGTTGTGTGCTCTACCCAGAGTCCTTTGCGGTTGGAATGGGTTACAATACTGTTAAATATACATACATGCATATGGATGGCTCTAGGTTGAGGATGGCTCTGTGGATGGCTCTAGGTTGAGTTGATACAGGCAAAAGACTTCTCTTTCCCATATTTGGGCCGACAGGGTGCTCTAAAAGAAAAAAAAAAGGCATTCATACATGCATATATACATACATACAGTTATGTATGTATGCATGTATCAGTGTTGGGATTCAGCCAGTTCACACCAGTTCGGCAGAACCAGTAGCTAATTTTTTGTTGCCCAGGCCCAGAATGGACTTCCGGAAGCGGCATCCACACAGAGAACTGGTTGTTCACATATTTGAATCCCACCACTGGCATGTATGCTTAATTCTCTAAAAGCCAGCATAATATGCTTCCCCCATATAAACTTAGTTTTATTAAGCACCAGAGTCTGTAATTCTATGGGACTATTTGGATGCATCCAGATTATTTTAGTAGAACTAACGATATGTCAAAAACAGAAATAATTAAGTAACAGGCAACCTTTCTTTTCAAAGATATGTATATTGCAGAATACATGAATCCCTGTTTTATTTTACATATGTTGGCCATTTTCAAATTAAAGGGATGCAGTTTTCTTATACAGACTTAGATCTAAATGACTGAAACATAAAAGAAAACAAGGTCACATCAAAAAAAGGAAATGACATTTGTTCCATTAAGATCACAGAGGGTAGTTTTTTCACCCCTGAACCTGTGGCAGGTAGCTTCTCTTGTGGCATTCTGTATCTTTCTTCAAGATGGTTCTGCTGGTTATAATAGTGTGAGGATCATTTTTATTAAATTTAAAAATAAACTGTGCCATGGACATAACTCTCTTCCTCTCAAGACTACAGATGGAACATTTTAAAATCACAAACCACTAGCAACTTAAAATGCAAAACATAGATGACATCAGCTTCTTTTTACAATTCAAAACTAATAGGGGATGTTTGCTTTTGAAATGTGTATAGGTAACTCTGTGAAGCAAGTAATGATCCCATATTGCAATAAGATAACCTAAATAGTACAAAATACTTTGATGTATAAAATAATCAGTTGTATTATATTTCTCCACTCCATCCAAGTAATCAAGAATTAAGTTTCATTTTTTCCTTTGAAAGAGTTGAAATAAGGAACAAGCATTCGTCTGAGTGAATGACTTGGGACTTGCAATGTATTCGATCTTTTCAGAATTAAAATAGATTGCTTGGCCACTTTTAAAAAGCTTCCTTTGATTTTTCACAGTGTCAAAATTTAAAATATTGATTCTGTTAGGAACAGATGTCTCCTTTGATTTAGAGGCAAATCCATCTCTCTTTTAAGTTTAGAGTGTAGTTAAAAATACAATCCTGTGTGTGCCGGCACAAAAGAAGTCTCACATAATTTACAATAGTTTAAATACAAATCAGTGGATAAAATATTGCAGCCACAAGGAATAACCTGTGGCCCAGTAGACCAGGTTAAAGAATCGGTGATAAAATGTTAACTATATCAGATAAAAAGTTGCCAATTCCAAATAAATACAGGGGGAACTGGAAGTAGTTAAATACCTTGCACGTGAGAGCAAAATGTACAGGTAGTTGTGTTAAAAAATTTTATGAATAGAATTAATTGTCCTAAGCAGGAACAAAATCCAACTCTATTTCTTGATGCAAAATCAATTTGAGGAAATGGATAGATAATCCTTAAGGTAATCAAACGGAGTGCAACCTAAGAAAATAACTGTAGGACCCAGGCAAAAGAACAAAATAGGGCCACAGCACAACTCCAGAACAATAAATTACAGGATGGCCCTCTGTCTTCATAACAGTACATATTTTTTCAAAGGAAATAAACATATTTTATTAGTAACACTGGAAATAATAAACAGACCCTGTGGTCATCGCCATGTGTAGCCTTGCATCCTTTCACAGGATGAGGCAGAACGACTGGGATGGTTAGGAAATCATCAAAGTACCGCTGGGACATATGTCCCAAGCAGGACTGTGCCTGTTTCTGGGCCCCCTCCTTGGAGTTAGTGTGCATATGTGGGAGGTAGAAGTGCTGTTTTCAGTGTGCTGGTGTTTAAAGCGATAGGGTGAAATCTGCTACAGGCACGCTCCTCCCATAGTACCTGTAGGTGGTCTCCCAAATCTGCTCTAGGCCGATTAAAATAGATTTAGGGAAGGGAGAAGGGATTGTGGGAGATCAAAGTAGCACTCCTGTGGAAACACATATCTGGCTGTGTGACACTGGAGGCAGCCTAAAGCTGTACAGGAAAGTTATCAATTGTGAGAACAAGGAGGAGGTCAGGATTTCTCTTTCTCATAGATTTTGGAATACTGGAGGTGCAGGGATTATGACAGTGAGATCATGGCATTGCTAGAAAAAGTGGGTTGGGTGTTTTTCGGGATTGGGGGCTTCCAAGTTTGTTTTTCTGCAGTTCTTGTTTGAGTCTCTTTAGAGCAGGGGTCTTCAAACTTGGCCCTTTTATGACTTATGGACTTCAACTCCCAGAATTCCTCAGCCAGGCACGCTGGCTGAGGAATTCTGAGAGTTGAAGTCCACAAGTCATAAAAGGACCAAGTTTGAAGACCTCTGCTTTAGAGAATAGGTATATTAATCCTATGGAAAATTTAATGCATCTGTGTAATAGCTTCTTAACTCAGGCTGCTATTATATGGCTGAGTTTACTCGGCCAATCATGGAAAGCTCCAAGACCTGTAGAAAGAGGGCAGGAGTCAAAAGTTGAAAAAAGGTAGATTAAGATGAGCAAAGGACTGTGGGTTGTATGAATGTTCTGAACCTGAATTCTCTTTTGTCCATTCCATTCTTATTTTCCCAAGGAATGATATGTTCTCCACCCACATATCAATCTTTCCTTCCTGAACTCTTTTTCTGTTTTGTTCATTTCCAAGGAAGTTGGAAAAAATAGTGCTTGGGGGTGAGGAATTGCCTAACTGTGAAATGATCCAGATCGGTCAGCAGGACATACTTACCACTACAACATTTAACATTGAAAAACTACAAATGTGCATTAAGTGAAGCAAGAGAGGCTTCTTACATTATATTTGAAATTGTAAATTGCAAGTTTCAGGGCACTTCCATTCTCCTCCTAAAGCAATTTCAAGATGAGCTTTGTTCATCTAAATTTTAGGGATCTCAAAATATTGAGAAGTTGCAGGCACACATGAGCCAATCAGCATTCATCTTTTTTCAACAGACCAATAAGAGAATGCAGGAAACATCCTGTCACCCACCCACCCCATCTTACTCTGCCCACTCTGTCTGGTGGGTTACTATAGACCTTGGAGCAACAGAAATCCTTTTACTTCCACTCCATATAAAGCAGAAATAAAATAAATTGCTAGGCCCTCTGCCTTTGACATTTGTAACATACATTATGCATAACTGGTTGCTTGTAAAAAAAAAAAAGTGGGGGAGGGGAAAAGCTGAGTTCTTGCTAAGAAAAAAAAACTATGCAGCTTACAAAATTGCTTTTTCTTCTAAAATCATCTTGGAAGGTAGGAAGGTGACATTTATTCATTTATTTCAATTGATATGGCCGTTCATCTTAACATCGTAACTCTGGGTGGCAAGCATAAAATAAAAATGACACCCCCATGAGAGCATGTCAGCATGTCAGCATTTGTACAAGTGAGGACAGAGAAATACAGACAGACATTAGAATGAAGGACATAAAGCTAAGAGCTAGGAAGCTAGATGAGGCAACAGTTGCCCTCATTGGGGAAAGGAAAAAGTCCAAGTTCTACCAAACTGCTGTATTGCAAGTTAAAAGACCAGCTGTGCTCTGATTTCACATAAATCAGCAAGGAACCAGAAAAAAAAAATAATGGACTTGGCTCTCAGCACCATTTATAAATTGGAGCTCAGGGGATACTTAACTGATTATGAACTTGATGCAAACAGCTTGCTCAGTAGGGAAGAGCTTTTAGGTACCAAATGGTGGGTGGATCTTGGACTTATTGTTAGGTCTCTTAATGATTTCCAGTAGATCATTACTGGACTTCTGATTTCCAGTTGTTTAAAAACAGCAACAGCAAAATGATTGTACCCATAAAGTGATATATCTATCCAACCACATGCAAACATGATGCTGCCGAAGTGAAGAATTATAATTAGATGTTTGTTTGGAAGGAATAGAAACCATTTTCAGTTCAAGTATTCAAAACAAATTCCTGGGCCGTGTCTCATGATTCATGTTGTTTGTACAAGTCTCTCTAGTTGAGTGTTCTCAGGGTTGTAGTACAGCAATAACAACATGGGTTCTTCAATTAACTCATGGCTTCCGCTAGTTCCTCCTGCCTGGACATAATGAGGAAAATGAGTCTAAATAGGGTTATAGCTTTGTAAAATATTTATGTAGTATCAGTGGATAATTTTTGATTATGCTGTATGCCAGTGATGATCAACAATTTTGGAAAG